AAAAAAATGGAAACAAAGTCTATGTAAATAGGGAAGGGTGGAGGGGTGAAGGGTGCACAGGTAATGGGGAAAAAAATAAGAACCAAGATACATCATATACAGGTACAAGCACCCAATGATAAATGTAACCACACTGTATACCTAAAAGGTACCAATATAAGAATTTTAAAAATAAAAAATAAAATAAAATAAAATAAAATGTCCCCCAAAAGTCTTATGGATTTGGAGAGTGATTGGATTATCTGAGAGTTCATACTTGACTGTGCTGTTGGAGAAGGGGCCTGACTGGAGGGAGGCCACTGGGAACGTGATTTGGAAGGGTCTATTTTTGTTCCCAGTTCAGCTTCTTTCTTCTTTCTGCTTCCTGGCTGCCACAGGTTGATCAGCTTTCCTTTTCAGTGCCCCTCTTCCATGCCACTTTTGATTGGAGCCACCAACCTTGAGCTGAACCCAACAGAAACTGAGCCAGATCAAACCTCTCCCCCTTTAAGTTGTGGGTGTCCAGTTTTCTGTCTGAGTATGGGCAAGCGCCTAATATAGGCTCCTTCTGCGAAACCAGTTTAAGATGCAAGAGCAGCCCATAGCTTGCTTGTATGAAGAATTCCATGACTGTTCAGTGTTTCTCCTTACACTTAGTAAAACAAGCTCACTGTAACTCACTCACTGTATCTCTGTCATCCTCTCACATGATGGAGCACACATTTAACCCTCATCCACTTGACTGGCTCTTGGGCAGATGATGGTGCCTGTGGTACATTTTAGTTATCTTTTCTCAGGGTCACAAAGGTTTGAATGAGAATCATGGGTCAGCATTCATATCATAAAAAAGCTGAACGGAAAGACTCACCATTGCCACTTGTACCTTTACAATCTGGTGCAGAATGGGATAAGAGAAAAAAATCCTGCCACATTAAAAAAGGACATGTGTATTCTCTTCCAAAAACCATAGCAATAGTAGTGCCTACCCATGATTAACTGATGGCATTTTTTGAGCTCTTACTGCAGCCTATAGAATTCATGTACAGCTATATAGTAGCTGTATCCTACAGTTGTACATGCATTATCTTGCTTGAACCCTACTAAGATTCATTATCATCATTATTTCTGCTTTACAGATGAGGAAACAGAAGTACAGAGAGGTGGTGCTATTTACCCAATACTCAGTAGAAAGTTATGAAGGCAAAATTTGAACCCAGGCCATTGGACACCATAGTCCACAGTCTGAACCACTGCAAGTCACTGAAAGTTTTGTGTAAAGGGGAGCACGTTGTTGTTATGCTTTGAATTTTCACAGGTATTCATTAAATTGAGTTTGAGAATATAGTATGGAACTAACATCCAGATATCACACACGAGTTTGTTTTAGCTTGCAAAAACAGACATATTTTCAGCTCTCCCCCAAAAATGAAATGGTTTGGCATGTGGGAACTGACAAACAGATCCAGATATCAGCCTAATGATGCTTACATTGAACTCGCTCTCATTTGTTGCTCTTTAGAACTCTGAAACAACCATGTAAATGTGAAGGTCACCTCCTAGAAGATGGAAGACTGCATGGAAAAGAAGCAGGGCTCCTCAGCTGAGTCTCCCCAGACTGAGCAGCCAGCGATGCCTGAATTTCTTCACCTTTCCATTATGAACATTTTGGGTCAAATGATTCTTTATGTAGGTGCTTGTGCTGTGCATTGTATGATGATTAGCAGCACTCCTGGATTGATTCTTATAAAATCCCCCAGCTATGACAGTAGGTATTATAACTAGACATTGCCAAGTGACCACACACAGTAAGGGGGTGGGTTTAAATTGGGAAATCACCTTGCTAGACCATCAAGCCCCAGCTGGCACCCCTGGCTGAAGAATCACTCAATTGACTGTCAGAAAAAAGATGAACCATCAGGTGTTAGGATGGTTTGTTTGTCATCAAAAGTCAACTAGCACAGTCTCTGCAACAGAGGCAGTGTATATTCGCCACAACTTTCTGCTTCCTGGATGCACAGAAAGACTACATTTCCCAAGCTTCTTTGTTCTAGGTGGAGAGCGTGCAATTCAGTGCTTGCCAGTGAGGAGTGATGAATCGCTCTATCTGGAGCATGACTGCTGGTACAAGTCTACCTTGTCCATGCTTCTTGTATCTGCTTGCCTGGAAAGAAGGGACTCCAACACAGTGAGAGCTACAAAATAGGAGTCCTTACACCTTCGGCACCACTGGAGAAAAGCTGCCCGGCAAGGTTACCTGATCTCCCCTGGACTGTGACATAAGCCACAATGAGATTTAGGGTTTATTCCTTATCACAGCAAAATCTGACCACCATCTTCCTTCTTAAAATACATTATAGATCGGAAATACCACGTTTAGGTTTTCTTTTGAGACGAGAAATGAGAAAGTTTGAATTAGATTTTCCAGGAAAAGAACAGATTTCCTTCAACAACTTAAGCCAGTTACATCAACTGCCAGAGTGCAAATCCCAGCTTTTACATTCACTCATTCAGTAGATATTTATTACGTAACTCTAAATACCAACAACCACACTGAGAACAAAGCTGCCTGGATGAGTAAGACATGATTCCTGTCCCTGAGGAAAACACAGCCCATAGGAGAAGAAAACCACATTGAAGGAAAATTCTCAAAATACGTCAACCACAACCATGAATAACCTGTAAGCCACGTGCCTTGAGATCTTCAAAACATTAGTAAATAACTGCGTAGAAGAATCAGGAAAGGATTCACAGGGGTTATGCTATTATAGGAGTTGATTTCTATTATACAGAAAAATACAGTGAATATTCAAATTAAAAATTTATTACAGTAACACACACATAGCTATTAATCCTTCTCAAAATCCTATCCCTTACTTCAAACATAACTTATACCATCATTCGTGCCACTTTCTGAAGCAGTTCTGGAAGTCCCACTTTGTGAATATCTTTTTTCTGGCTGTCTCAGTGTCCTGAATTAATTCAAATGTTGACAGCAATTTATGTCAACTAAAAGCCTGACAGTGCATCCTCAACCACATCATGCACCAGATCTGGTGCTGTGCAACTTGTGGCTCTTCCTCAATGTTGAAATGACTACCTCGAAGGGTAGGTGTTCTGAATTGATTCAGGACATCAACAGGATAACTGAAAAGAATGGATAAATACAGATTTTTAATAGGTAACAAAGGGAAAAATGTATGGGAGTATTAACAACAGAAGAACATTGTTGACCAAGGAAGAACAACAGGAAAATATGTGGCAATGTGGAGTGGCATGGGAAAAGAATTGAGGAGACTCATCTCACCGATAGACAATGTTCTGTGTATTTATTGTCATATGAACTACTCCAACATGCAACAGCTTATAGAAACAGCTATTTTCTTTTCCTGCATGATTTTGTAACCAGGGCCTTGTCGGATGATACTTCAGCAGCATGTGCTGCGGATGGGTGTTGTTCACATGGATTTGGCTGATGGGTGGGCTAATGTGCAGGATGCAACGAAACTTTACTCCCAAGTCTGATGCCTCCTAGGGCAGAAGGCTGGGCTCCCCTGAGACTGCTGACCTCAGCACCAACATCCCACCTCGCTAGTACAACTGGCCTGAAATAGCCAGACCCTTCATTTTCCGGGGCTCCCAGAGAGAGGCCCAGGGAGCAGAATGTGAAGGTACCAGGATGGTGAGCCTGAGATTACAGACTGACCTGGACTCACTTCTGCCATATTCTGTGATCCACGTAACTACAGAGGCTGCCCAGATTCCAGAGGAAGTGGTCACCCCACTTCTTCGTGGGATGAAGAGTGGAAAGTTTATAGTCCAGAGCAGAGGTCTTGATGTCTCTGTAAACCAGACAAAAGTTTCTGTCCGATTGAACCCTAGCAGTAGGAACATTGATATCTAACATGTTTTTCTGAGCCCAGTTGGACTCCTGCCTTTTTTGAGATAGAGTCATTGTCAGAGAAGAGCCTGAAAGATCAGTAAGACTTTTTTTAACCAAGCCAGCTTTGGCAGGAGAAGCACTCACATCAGATGCAAGAAGACAGAACATTTAGCAAGGTATAAAGCTGGTAGCCCTGCAGTAAGAGGGTGGTGCCCCTACAGGAAAAGCAACCAAAGAGTAGGGAGAGGAGGAATGGAGTGCATTCATTTGTAGACTAAAAGCATTACTCTGGAAGGTGAGGGAAAGAGTTTTAGGGTAATACTTAGAGTTTTGCTTAAGAAAAGAGGCAAATCTTTCGGCCCATTTAGTAAAGTGCAATTGGAACACAGCTCAGACATTTGCTTATGCATTTTCTACAGCTGCTTTTACGCTATAAAGCCCGAGCTGAACAGTTGCAGCATGGACCACAGACTGCAAAACCTGCAGTACTTACTATCAAACCTTTTATTGACATTTTCAGACCTTGCTTTTAAAGATCAATCCGATAAAAAACAGATCAATCTGATAACAATGATCCTCTACTACTGACCTGTCCTGGGAGCAGAAGGGCAGGAGGATGGATTGTGTTGAAACCATCTTCACGAGTCATGTCAGAAACACGGATGAGGATACACTCATGGTACCACAAAGGGCTGGGCAGAGACAGGAACAGAAAGAGAGGTGGGGCTGACATAATCCTGTGTGTAGTCCACGGAGGATGTGTGTGCTTGCGTGTGTGTGCGTGTGCTTGCGTGTGTGTGCGTGTGCTTGCGTGTGTGTGCGCGCACTTGCCTGGAGAGAGCCAGGAGAAGGAGCTGTCACAGACTGAGATTCCCTGCCCTGTTAGAGTGACAGGAGCTGCAGGAGTGGGGAGCACATGGGGAGAGGCTGTCTGTGAGGTGAGCGCTGAATTCATTCTTCTTGCCTCTGATTGACCTCATCATTAGGCCATTAGTTAAGACAGGCGCCATGGCCATGAGTTTCTTCTGAGGCCAAACAGAATAATTGTGATAGAAGCAATGCACCTTCATGTGAGTTTAAAATGTTTTATTAATTTCTCCGGCTTAACCACTACCTGATTGTTGAAGGGATCCTCTAGCATTTTAACTTAGATCGGCTTCCAGTCTCTGGGTCCTAGTCTATCCTGCTTCAGGATCTCTGTTCATGTTGCTTCTTTTGGGTAAAGGCTGATGAGAAACCTCTCTAGCTTCCAAATGCCCCTAATAACTTTTACTAATCCCTTAGGGTTAGGTTGAAAGACCACTTCCTCCCGGGAGTCTGTTTTGCATTCATGTCTCATTAGTTCCCCCTGAGTGAAGACTGACGCATGCCCTGTTGGCTTGTGCTGTGCTTTTCTGTACCCTGCGTTTGTTCATGCTCTGTGCTGCTTCCAAGATCATCTAGATTAGGACCTACTGGAGAGCTACAGCTATGTGCATATATTTTGTAACCTCTCTATATATCATATAATGCATATTAGTGGAAATACAGGTTTGCAAATATAATTAATAATAAAAATAAGATTTTGGGCTGGGGATTTAGCTCAGTAGTACCTTCACCTGCCTCGAAAGTGCTAGGTCCCAAGTTTGATCCCCGGTACCAAAAAACACAAGATTTTATTAAGAATGTGTAGCATCAGGCACTAGGATAAGAGTTTTCAATTAATTGTCTCAATCTCCAAATAAATCCCCTACAGTAGATACTATTTTTGTGCTCAGTTTAGGGATGAGGGTACTAAGGCTCTGAGAAGTTGAGAACTTTAATCTGATCCAAGTTAACATGGTTGTTAAATGGCATAACTGGAGTTTCAATCTAAGTCTGCTTGACTGCAGACCCCACATGACTAAATTTTATAAAAATGTGGTTTTGAATAGATCCGTGACTGCATGAAGAAAGGAAGAGGCAAGAAAAGGAGAAGCAGGAAAAAAGAAAGGGAAAGAGGGAGGAAAGACAAGCCATTGGTTGGTCATAGAAAAATCCATAGTGAGCTACCAAAGATAACAGGCTAACATCTGCAGGAGAAACCCCACTGACCCTTACTTAGAACACTGTCAGAAGTGTTTTACACATGGGAACTCATTTAACCTTTGCTCAATTCAAGAAGTGCTTTCGATGATTGGTATACATCTAGAACTTGGCCACAGCACAGCTCCCTGGCCACCCTCCCCATGCAAGCTATTGTCTTTTGGTTACAACCCGCCTCCTGAGCTTATTCCCATGCCTACCATCCACTTTCCACTCAAGAGCTAGAATGATTCTTTGAAAGTAAGTTACGCTGTGTCAGTGGTCCTTTCAAACCCTCCAGTGGTCTGCTGTCTTCCAAACCCATTGCTGCAGAGCCGACTAGGTCATGACCCGTCTTGAGCCTAACTCTGTCTTATTTTCCCAGCCCTGTCCCCTTTCTTACTGAGCACGGGCCTCCCCTGCTGTCCTCCACGTGCCAGTGTGCTCCAGTGCATTTGCTGCTCCTCCTGCCTAGACAGCTGCTCCCACAGATCTCTGGGTGACTTACTTCGAAACCCCCTTAGGCCACTGCTTAGATGTCACCCTCCCAGGACAAGGCCTTCCCCGAATATTGTCTATGAAATTGCAACACTCCTTTCTACACCTCCCTACAATTTCAACCCTCTTCCTTGCTCAATTTTTCCCCAAATACTAACATGTATTTTGCAACTATGTATTGTGTAATATCATTTGCGTATGAATTTATTTGTTTTCTGTCATGCCTCCAAAGCAGACAGGGTCAAATCCAGCAGTGCGGGAAGTACGGTCTCTTTTGTTCTTTCCCATTAAGACATAAGAAGCCCTTGACTTTGCCCTCTTCTCTCTGCAGCAGCCAAATTGTGGCACCGTGTGGAAGACGGCTGTCTGGACAGGAAGTGCAGCTCAGAGAACAGGTGCCAACTGCTCTTCTGCTGCTCCTGAGCTGCTGCCTCTGAAGAAGCTATGAGGAAACCTCCTTGAATGCAGCAGGGATCAGAGAGGTACCGAGGCCCCTTGCGAACAACCCCAACCTCCCCAAACCCCAATTAGCTGTGATTAACACAGCTAGCCCTCCTGAAGATTCTCTGCTTTGGCCTCAGTGTTTTCATGGAGATGTAAAAGCTGTCAATCAAACAGTGGGGGACTGTGAATCTGTGAATGTCCCCTGGAACCACTCCCATGACAGCCGCAGCTCTCCAGAGTCCCCTGCCCCACCTCGGGAGGTATCCACTCTGACCACAGTGAGCTTGAATTTCAACTGAACAGTACAGGGGAATTCACCAATAAGTAGGCTCGGGAGGAAGGTTTGCATTTAGACCGATTTGGACCTAGAGAGAGGCTCCAGTGTGGACCAGTGAGCAGATTTGAATTTGGACCACTCACAGGTCTGAACTCAGAACAGTCGTAGGCCTGGGCTTGGATGAACCACAGGTCTGCAGCTGCTGCATAAGCAGCTGTCCTTTCACGCTTGTTGGGTTGGTCTAGGAGGGCTCCCCCTTGTGTACTGACCGATTCCCCTGAACTACAGCACAGGTCTTGTTCCAATGAAGCCCTGTTCCGATGGCCCTGCAACTCTGCTCCTGATCTATTTCTTGGCTACTCTGGGCTCAGAAGGTCCTGTAAATCCATTCAGGATTCTTCTCCTGAGTAGTGTGGACAGAATGGTCGTTTTAAAAGACAAAGCAGTAAACGCCAGGAGCTGTTAGTCTTAAAGAGACCTGTGACAAGTCAGCCAGTGGCATCCTGCATTGACTGATATCTAGTAGCAGCAGCAGCTCCCAAAGCTGTAACACTGAGGCCTGAGGGGCATTAGAGCTCAAAGCCCAGAGCTGCACTTCACAAAAGAACCTGCCACCGACTGGAAACACTATGTTTTCAGCCCTTAGAATACAGTAGGCCCTTGATAGAAAGGTATAGAGTGCATGGATAAATCAATCTCCATTTTATAGATGAGAACACTAAGAAAGATAATTTAATGGCTTGCTTGAAGTCACACAGCAAATGACTAGCAGACTATGTATTCAAAGGCAGCCAGGCATCTGGTCCAAGATCGAAGGGTGTAACCCTCTCCTCACTGCTTTCCAAGGAAACAATGTATCCATGGGTTATAGCTCTTTAAATTGGACTGCCTGGGTCTACCTATGATCAACATAGCTGTGTGACTGATCCATGCAGTGGTCTTAATAATATCAAGTCCGCAGAGACAGCATGACATTTAAGAAGACATAAGAAAATGATCTGCAGTCTCTCACGCACCGTAGGTCTGCCATATCGCTTTGCATTACTATCATGATCATTCTGATTGCCGCAATGAGCAAGTTGCTACCCTCCACTGCCTGGGTTTAAACAAGTGGGTCTTGGGTGTATCCCATCCTGGGCTTTATTCTTGCACTTTCAAAGGCAAAGCTGAGCTTCTGCAGAGACTGCTGACCTTGCATGCTAATGCTTCTGATTTTCTGCCTGAGCCCCCAGTCTAGGGCAAGAGGAATGCAGCTCACAGGGGTGAAGGTGCTTTGACCCTGATTCCAATGCCCTTGAGAGGAAGAGCAGCATGGCTGCCCTAGGATGAGCTTCTCATTCCAGAGGTCAGTGAGAAGCCTCATGATGTTTTGCCTCCAACACCGCTTGTTTGCTGTCATCGCAAAGCTGTTGACTGTGGAAAGAATTTGAATTTATTTATTACCCAAGTGGGTGGGGGATTCATAGTTAGCTCAATTTCTCAAAAAGTAAAATTTGGTTCTAAACCTTAAGTTACATCCTCTATTTTATGAAGTATTAAAAAAAAATTCCAGGGAAATGTAACCCCCCAAAGGGAAAAGAAATAATGAAATACGATAAGCAACCAAGCACCTTCCATATCGAAGTTGCTTCCTGAGAAATCAATGGACTATTCAGGACCACAGAGCAAGGAGAAGTGATTTCCAGGCACATGGTGAATTCCAGACTCTTCCTGCCCGAGACAGCTCCTCCCTTGGCCGAGCAGCAGCCTGCAGAGTGGGAGTCCTTGTAGCCCAGCCAGAGGTGGAGCGTGAAAGCAGACGCTCATCGGATCCACAAGTGTTGGGGTTCAGTTGATGAGAGATGGGAATATTGCAGCCACATGGAACAATTGTTAGACTTAGAGGCTCCAGGGGATGTGGGGCGTAGCATGTTTTTCAAATGGCAACTGGCTCAGTTTTTCCAGAGTATGGGAAGAGGAATGGTGAACATAAAATCTGTGGTGGTGAACAGGAGCCAGGCCAAGGGGCCTCCTCTGTGTGCAAGGAATCTTCTGATGGCAGAGGGAGCAGGCGAGCAGGGGAGAGGCTGAAGCAGGTCTGAGCGTTAGAATGAGAGTGGATGGCATGGCGGGGGCTTCAGGGCTCTCTTGCCTTCACCTTCAGTCACAGCTAATTCCTCCCACTCGTCCGCACTCGCTGTTCCCTGCAGGCCCTGGTCTGTGGCTGTGCAGGCCATGGGAGTCATCAGAACTCTCAGAAGAAGGAAATGCTTATCCTGGAGTCAAGAGATTTCCAGGCCAGGCTTTCATTGGTTGCAAAACCTGAAAACAGCTGAATTCACAAATGCCAGGACTTAAATATCGTCAGCTACACAGGTCAGAGACTAGCACGTCACTGGCGAGCATCCTAATTAACTGCGGTGGGGTATCCTGGGCTGAAATCAAATTGTGCTACCTCAGACCAATTATATCTCCGCTCCTGGCCTCAGTCTCCCCATCTGTAAAGTCTAAGCATTACTTGGTTCCTTTGAGTTTTCCTTGACCACCAGGCTCTCAAATCATCCTCATTTATCACATATTGCTTCTGTTTTGTTTATCCATCTGGTTACTTAGATTTAGTTACTAAGATATTGTTTTATTTACTACCATAGCTCTAGCAAAAAAAAAATAATGTCTGGTGCATTCTCAGTAAATATGTGTCAAATGAATGAATGGAAAAATATATGAGCGAAATGTTGTCCTTTCTGGGTATGGAGACAGAGTCAGAAAAGTGGATTTCCAAAGTTGCACAGAGAATAAACTTGGAGAGGAGGAACCAGATTCAACTCTGGGTCAGAAGTCTAAGCCCATACTACATCCCCTCCATTGGACGGATTTTCTTACTCAATTCAAGTTGTTTTCATTATTCCTAAACACAGCCTCCTCGGTTTCAGGAAAAATTCTGGAGTTGGATCTCTGGGTTTGGTAGAGGACATGTGCCTCATGACAGTATGACTATGATAATGGCAGAGACACTTAGAAAACTCATTAACACCTAACTTTGGTAGTCCATTCCAAGCACTTGTGGATTCTCACTTAACACTTCTTTCAGTTTTTCCTTCCAAATGGGTGCAACAGGAAATGTCTATTGTTGCAAGAGGGGATCATTGACTCCATTTCTTTCTCCTTGAAGGTGAAATAAAGCATTCAGTTTCGAAGAGCTCCCTGAACCTATTAGAGTCATTTGCTGTAGTGCTTATGGAGTGGTGGATTGCAAACTTCTGAAAGCTGCAGCGACTCCTTGATCTTTCGATTCTCTATTTCAAAAGAAATGAAAGAGGCAGAGAGTTAATTCTTCACTAATGAAGTACAATCCAGCTCTGGTTTGAGGCTTGGGGAAGAAAATATCAAGTCTTTACTTTACATACACTGACACTTTATGCGTCACTTTTCAACAGTGTACTGTTAGAGATTTTGGGAGATGGGGCTGCGCATGTGCAAAGAGGAACCCTGGTCAGCTGTGACTTCCGGACAATTTAGCCTCTGTGTCTGGTGTGGTTTGCAAACACTGTGTTCAGCCCAGGAGCTCTACAGGAACAATACAAGGTCAAACATCCAGCGACTGCCTTCTTATACCAAGATGTCCAAACTTTGAAGTCTTTTTCGAAAATGAACTTTTTTCTCAGATGGTAATTAATGTAGCAGATTAATTGAAATGAAAGCTATAGTTGGAATTATTTAGTCAGTCAAAAGCCCCTGGAGTAGGCAGCTTCTTGGATGGAACCCAATGATCTCCAGCTCCTGGTTCTCATTGCTTGTGCAATCCACCCTCTTTGCAATGAACTAGACCTAAGCCAAGGATTCACTTCTGGCCAATAGAATATGGCAAAGATATGGATGTCACTTTCAAAATTAGGTTACAGAATACTGACTTTTTGTGTGTGAGTGGTACTGGGGATTGATTCCAGGGCTTTGACACTGAGCTACATCCCCAGCCCTTTTTCAATTTTTCTTTTTTTTTTTCTTTCATTTTGAGACAGTGTCTTGATAAGTTGCTAAGTTACCTAGGCTGCTCTCAAACTTGTGACCTTACTGCTTCAGCCTCCCAGAAAGCAGAGGTCACACATGCACCATCACTCCTGGCTGAGGATTTTCTCTTACTTGCTCTTTTGCTGACTTTGCCTACCATTACAAAGCTGTCTGTGGAGATTCTAGGTAGACCATGAAAACTTAGTACTGAGAAATCAAATTTGCAGCAAATATGACAGGAGGTTGTTATCAATAATAAACACCTCAAACATATCAATAAACATAAAACTCAAATAACCACATGTAAATGAGAAGAGAATAACTATTCCATGGTGGAGATGCATTTGCTTGTAAAGCAACAGGGAGCTGTTCAAGCCCCCCAATCATCAGTCCTGCAAAATTAAAATCATTGCAATGAAGTCTCATCTCTTAAATATCAAATTTGAAAACTTTTTTTGAAAAGTCAGTACAGCATGCTTCCAAGTATATTAAAAGATGACAAAATCTCATGCATTGCTAATTTTTGTATAAATTGTTGCAACCTCTTGGGGAACCAATCTGGAAATATGTATCATAAGTTTTATAAATATCCACATATTTAATTCAATAGTTTTATTCATGAAATATATCCTCAAAATGAGAGTACATATAAACATATTCATCAAAACATTATTTATAATTGCAAAAATTTTAAGAGTTTAAATGTCAACAAAGAGGTTTGATTATACATATCTTATTTTTAGCCTTGAAAATGGTATTTGAATGTGAATGTTACATCATGAAAATTTCTTGTCCTAAAATGACAACTCAACGCATAACACTGATTCCCTATACTGTTACACAAGTGTAAACTAATGTTACATATTCCAAGCACAGAGGATAAAGTTTATATTAAAATGACCAGGGCCTCAACTTGCCAATCTCAGACTGGACTATCACATGGTGATTTAATTCCCACACCCCTGTCAGACAGGCCTGTTAAGGCTCTGATCTCTCTAATGAGGGAGCTAATGGCCTCAGAGACATCTGAACTGATTTGCAAGGTCAGAGGGCTGCTAGATGTGGAGCTGGGCTTTGAAACTCATCTGCCTCCAATCCATGCCACACTCTCACCTGTACCTTTGAACCTCTACTGTTCGAAGATGTGGAAGGAAATGTGCTCTCTAAAAATGGGAATGACAACCTTTGTTGAATGATGGTACCAGGGACGATTTATCATCATCATCATCATCGCCGTCATCTCTTTCATCACTGTCATTATGCTTTTTTCAATTTCTAAGTTTATTTAATGGACATGCATTCCTTATTATTATGTATGGGAAAATAGACAAATGAAAGCAAATCACTATTTCAGAGTGCAGTTTTGTTAGACATGTGGCAGGATGTGACAGAAATGTGCCAGTCTCTCTGACAAGCTGATGGAATGGGAGGTAACTGTGAGGAGACATCTGGCATTGGTCCCATCCCCTTGGGCACAGTTGACCCCTCTTTACACATATTCGTCCCACAGCTTCACTGCTCGGAGCTATTTCGATGAATATAAAATGAAGGGGCTGAGTTAGAGGATTTCCAGAATACCACCGGACTCTGTGCTCCCAGGATGTAAATAGTGCTATGTAAGTACAAGTTTTATTTCTCCTACTTGAAATTCATTTGGTGTCCTACAGGCACATAGGAATTTTTTTCCTTGCCAGTTTTAGATAACATATTGGGGTTTCCTATGAAAAACTGTTTGCCTTTATGTTTTCTATAAATCAAAATTTCAGTCCCAGAAAGAGGTATACTTCAGCTTTCCTTTCTTCTTCTACCTCAAGTGCTGGGGCCTCCGTGTGCATGTTCACTGCATCACTGGGCTGCTGGTGAGTTTTAGGGACTTGTAAGGTGCTGGCTCTCTGCTCACTCCGTACACAGCCTCTGAGCTCCTACCACAGACTCCCTCCCTACGCAAGGTGCCAGGTCTGGAGAAATGCCACAGTGATGGCTTGGACATTTCCATAATTCCTCCTCTGACACTCACTCTTCCCTTGAGCTGAGTGGACAGTGCTTTGAATCTCAGTCCTGCCACACTATTGGCTGTGTGGCTCACATCCCTCAGCACTTCTGAACATCACAACCCAGTATTTATTCAAGTAAGAATTCTCACACGAACATGCAAACTACAGGTAAATCACCAGATTTCACATCTTTTATGTTGATGTACACTTGCAGCCAACATCTCAGCTTTGAAGAAACAAATACATTTTAAGGACCTTAAATGAACCACCTCTTTGACATTTCATAGCATCTTTTCCATAAAGTTATTACTGTGAGTTCGAGGAGTTCCCTCTCATCTCTTCCAAATTACTATGAGTGGGGCTCTGAATAAAATAGAAGCCCAAATGAAGCAGTTATGCGCTATCTTGCCTGTTTCTACAGTGCACATCAGGAACTGACTGAGTGGAAGAACACTGGGTCAGGTACAAGCTCAGTATTAAAGCCCTGAGTTCGGCATTGGCCACGCTTGGCTTCAGAGACTTGGGAGAAAACACAAACAGAGAGGTGGAGAGGACAGTGTGGAACTCTAGGTATAAAGCTGGAGTCATCTGCATGTGGCTGGCTTGTGAAATCCGTGGTGGAAGGGCAGCCAGGAAAAAACACTGAGAAACTCTTTATTTGTCAAGGGCATAGAAGGGGAGAATCGAGTGAATCTAGGCATTGAATGGCACCCAAAGAACAAAACTAGAAATACTTGGTCAGCTGTGTTAATTATAGTCGAGATCTCATGTAAAACAAAATCAGAAACTGCCTCTTAGCTTCTGCCACAAGGATGTTACCAAAGACTGAAAAGCTCTTTTCTTCACATAGTACTCTTAAGCACTGGGATCGAATTTCTTCCGTCTGTCCCTTTTTGGAAATTCACTATGATTCTGGGAGTTATAATTCCATCCCACCTCCTGACGCTTGACACAAGTTTGAGCATCTGCGTAAACCATGGCCAGAAGAAAATGTAGCTGTCTTTTGGTAGTTAATATCTGAGATAAGCCTGGTTGCTATCTTGAATTGAAAAGAAGTAAACCAAGATAGTCGACAATGGCCATTTTTGTGGCATTTAGACAGTGTGAAAGAGACATACAGTCTTCAGCAAGAATGTATGATGGTGCATGAATGTCTGAATCCAAACTTTCGCACATTTTAGCTTTTTTTGGTTTTAGTTTTAACAAACCTCCTTCCACAGTAAATCCTTCTTTTATTCTAGTTCAAGTTGGGCTTCTGTAATTTGCAAAAAGAAAACGTTATGCAAATAAACGAATTGGTTCTATGATGATTAACACATATTATGAAGACAACACATACTTTGTGATCTCCTTTAATCATCACAGTGACTTTACCTATATCCCCATAACATGAACAGGGAAACTGAGGCACCTAGAGGTCAAATCACTTGTATAAAGTCACACAGCCTGTAGGTAGCAGAGCTAGGACTTAGCTCAGGTAGGTATTCACATGTTTGCCCTTTACGCTTTGATCCAGCTGTCTGTGCATTTACTGAATTACTAGCATACAAGTATCTGATGTTAAAAACTTCTCGAGTAGTGAGAGCAATGGCAATGAATTACCCTGTGCTAGGGGGTCTGCAATTCTTGTTGTATTTTAGTGAATTCATTGGTTAAACTATTAGCTGATGATTTGTGGTCTTGGATGTGTGCATCAAAACTAATGCCTAAAGGTATTTGATCAGGTCTCCACATTGGGTACAGAGTTATTTATGACATTCTTTAAGATACCATAAGAATATGGAATATGAGGAACATATAGTTATTAAGGGGAAAAGTTCTGCTTTTAATTAGAGATTGAAGATTCCAGGTATCTCTGTGTAATATGGAACCCTGGACTAGAGCTATCTAGAAGTTAGACAACTTCAGCAAGTGCTAACCAGCATGCTTTTTGAAAGAATTCTGCTAGTCCCTTTCATCTAGTTTTCCTTCCCAAGTGTTTTTTCATAGGGAACTGGATTATAAGGTGGCTCAGAAGAGGGGACTTTCTATCGTAAAAACTAAAGACTCTAGCGCCATGCTCTCCATACGCACACAAGAAATTCTCAATTGGGCACACTGGCCGCGGGTCTCTCATGTTGACCAAAGAGCTGATTCAGAAAGTCTGTCTCCACAAGCGTTGTATTCATCCTGTCAGAGACTTGTTACATTTATCTAACAGGAAGTGATTTGTTCTCTGGATCAATGACCAGCATTCTCTGTATCAGCTATTTTTTTATTGCTCCAGGAAGATTCTCATCCTGCTTTTCCTCCAGCACTGTGTGTCAGAGGTTCAGGAGAATCCATAGAATAGAGTAATTAGAAGCCTTGATTCTTAAGTAAAATTCTGGAGATTGAAGTCAAGGCTTTCCCTCCATTAGTTGTATAAACTTAGGCAAATTATCTAACATGTTGATGTCTCATTTTTTTCTTCACTGTACAATATAAATAGTATACAGTACAGTCACAATGCAGTGACCCATGAGTTTATTTCTTCATTCTAAACCTTAAAATTGCCTTCATTTAATCACTATAAACATTTACTAGGTTTTACCGTGGGTCAGACATGAGTCAAGCAACAGACTCATCTCTGCCTTTGTGTAAATCTAAGCTAATGGGATAGACAGATATAAAACATATAATCATGAAAATCATGTTGCAACTCAGTGCTGCCATGAAGACCTACAGCGGGAAGATTTGGCCAGTTGGGCTGGGGAAGCTCTGAAATTGTATGGAAAGAGTATGTGGCTGAGAGCTCTAGTAAGATTGTTTTGCTTTCCTAGTGTCTACTACAATTCTTAGCTCTTCTGATTTTCTGAGACCTGGCCCTTCCTCTGCCTTACAGCCCTCTCTGCTGGCCATGGGCCAAGTGAAGAGCTCCTCAAGGAATGTGGATCAAGGGCTGACGTTTACACCTGGCTGATCTCTTGCACTGAAGTGACACAGCCCTGAAATTACAGGCTGATGTCATTTCTTTCTGTGTTGCAGGTTCAGAAATAGAGACAATGGATGTGCAGCAAGTGAGAGAAATGAAACAGTCATGTGGAAAAACCCAAAGGCAAGACTTTAAAGAACCAGATCTGGTTCCAGCGATGTCTAAAGGATTGTTGCATTCCATTCTTGCATTCCCTAAGATACTCTGTATCCTAATCAGATCCTTATTTGTTAGTTTGTGAGCTTATTCCATTTAGCCTTCTGTTTCTTGTCACCAAATAAAATCCTAACAAATACCCCAACATGAAAAATGAAGTCCTGGGAGCAAAAACCAGGCTAGAGTGAGCAGAGAGTACAAACTGAAGAGGTAGAAAGCATGAGGAGGCAGCCTTTTCAATAAATCTGCCTATAAAAATGAAGGTAAGGATGAAGTACTATATGGAGAGTAGGCAAGAGAGACAGCAAGTGCCCGCCAAACACATTATTTTCTTCAATGGTGTAAATTTCTCCCTGCAAAGATGTTTCACACCAGGGTGATATGAGGGTTTGTTTCTTTTTAGTACTGTGATTTTATTTTCTTACTTTTCTTCGCCAGGACAAAAGAGCATGCTTGAATGGGGACTGGCAAGTGTGTCAGTTATGCGTTGCTCATACCAGGCCAACCTAAACTGGGTGACTTGATAGTTTTTTTTTAATTCTTGAATCTGAAGACTGGCAATTTTGGCTGGTGATTCTACTAGTCTAGGCTAGTCTTGCTCATGCGACAGCAGTCAGGGAGCAGACAGCTGGTGGTTTTCTGGGCTGCACGGTGTCACATGGGCAAATTTCAGGAGTAGTGGTTGGCTTCCAGCCATCTGGGAGATCAGGCTACTGGGCTACACAACTTCTATCATCTAGAATGCTTGTCCAGGCATGTTCACAACTGAGAATCTTAAAGAAGCAGGAGGGGGGGCCTCAGTATGCAAGCAGTCTTCAAGCTGTTTTACAGCTTTTGTGACTTTTGAACCAAAGCAAAGCCCTTGGTCCAAAATAGCGTCCGAGTTGATGTTGAAGGGCATTAACAAGAGCTGTACCCAGGGAGGGCATGAACAACTCAGGAGCTGGGTGAACCCAATCCACCACAAGAGTTGCAGACGATGAATATGGCAAAAGAAAATGGGTGTCTGTTTGAGATGACTATATATAACTCCCCGTCTATTATGGCCTTAAAATAGATGGCAGATTTACTGTGAGCTCAACAATTTAAAAAGCATCATTTTAGGGGAATTTCAGATAAAATGTTGGTGCCTGGTGCAGTATTTCATCTTCTTGGACGCCAATCATTTATTTCTCATGGAAGGGAGATAAAGCTGCAGAATGAAGCCTTCCCTTTCAGAAACCAGGACAGCCCACTGCCAGCACTGCACTCTGCTCCACTCTTTAATTACTACCATGCTGATAGAGGTTAAATATTTATGAAGAATGTGCTTTTTATCACCCAATCTAATTTTAAAAGTCAGATTCTCTAATCTCATTGCGATGTTAATAACCTGTGCTTCCCTCCCCTGCTTTAGGTTTTTTGGCAGGCATGGACGACCCTCTGTTCTTGTGGATTTTGTGAAGGTTGACATATTGCTTGGGAGGACTACTATGTCAAGGGTGCTGCCAAGAATGGGGAGTGGAAGAAATTGACAGGAATCTACTTTCCATTCAGCCAAGAGAATCTTGGGTTTGTGCAGACTTAGCTATCCTGGAGAGGAGAATTACACAACTCTATTGGACACTGTTTCAGTCATCTTTGATCTTTGACAAGTAAACCCCTCTGAGATTTAGTTTCTTTGTTGCTAAAATGAATATAATTTTATTATATCCAGACCCATACTTTCTTATTGTTGCTGTAATAATTTTCCCAATTTTTAGGTTCCCAATGTAGGCTTAAAACAGCCTGAATGCATTAGCGTACAGTTCTGGACATCAGACTTCTAAAATGAGTGGAGAGAGTTGATTCTTTCTGGAAGGCTCAGGAGTAAATGACTTCTCAGGCTTTCCCAGTTTTTAAAGGCCTGTCTGCATCCCTTGGCTGGTGACCACCTTCCCCAGTCTCCGATCCCTCAGTCCCTTCTGTGACTCTGACCCTCCTGCCTCTTTAGTAAGGACCTGTAATTACTTGGGTCTCCTATGGTAATCCAGAAAATCTTCCTGTCTAAAGATTTTTAATGACATTCACATAGTCTTTTTTCTCATGCAAGGTAATGTACGCCTAAGTTTGGGGGATTGGGATGTGGACATCTGTGGGAAGCAGCTACCTGCCAATGACGCCCCGTATGCTTGTCGTAAAGATGGTGTAGTCCTTGTAAAGGACTTACCACAGTGTTTGGCACATGGAAAAGCATGAATAAATGTTGCTGTTACCACTGCTTCTCTTTGGCCTCCCCTTTATGGACGGAATCTCCCAGTGACTGCCTGGAAAGTAGTTCCCATGCACAGACCCAAAAGTGTATGAGGAAAGAGTCATCGTGACCTGCTGTCTGAAGTTCATGCTCAGGCCATCAGTCACAGATTGTGCTCCACCCTGTCCCCGTCTTTGTGTAGCTGACCGCCATTCTTTTGTACAATCTCCCTAGCCTCTACCCATGGAATGATCTTTCCACCCGTATCTCATGGTGTAGTGCCTCTTAATTCTGTAAAATGCAGCTCAGACATCACCTCCTTCGGGAGGCCGGCCCTGATCCATTCACTCCCCAGCCTGGCCTCATACCTTGAGCTTTTTCTGCCCTTCCCTGTACGGTAGCTTCCCATTCAGCCTCCCAATCCTCTCCTGAAACTCACTTCACTCAGTGCAAATCACTTCCTTGGGCTGGTCCATCTCTGCATCTGAAGGGCTCAAAGGTGGCTATGCAGTGAGTCTCACTCCCATCTGGTATGGTGGGTTCTTGAGGCATGGGGGAGCTGTGCTGCCACATGAACTGCTGTTCTAGAAATAAGGGTTACTTTACTTTATTCTCATCTCCACCCTGACATTAAGTACCACTTCGTTTACAGAAGAGAAGACTGAGTCACAAAGTAGTTTAGCTTTCTTCACAAGGTCCTAAGAATGTGGAGAGAGGAGATAGGTTGTGTCTTGGGTTCCTTGCCCCTCTGCCCTTCCTGGGGCTATCTTATGGTCTCCAGGGTGAATGTACATTTCTCAGACCCGCTGCAAGGCTGGATAGATTAATGGGTGTGTAAAAGCTCTGCGAGGTATTGGGAACACGCATGCAGGTGAGGTAGCCCATGTCCCTCCTCTAACCCTTTCCTTCCAGCCTCACTTTCTTGCTGTTAGTGCATAGTCTTAAGACCTTAACAATGCACTGTAAATTGAGCATCTTGCCGTTGTTCATGATCTACTTCCTATACTGGAAGTGAGAAATCTAATAAGAACATAAACGTTAAATGTCATTGTAGGAACTGAGCACACATATTTACATAATCGACCACCCACCTTTCTGCCAGAATTCTAGCTCCTCTTCTTGTATAAAAGTTTCCCACATTTCCTCAAACCATTCCAAATCCTTGTAGATCCACAAGTTATCTCATTTATTCATGGAAGGAAAGTTTGTGGCACATCCTCTGTGTCCCCAGCACTGAATATTTGGTGTAACCAAGGCAGATGAAGTCCTGCCTCTCATGGAGCCTATGTCTTAGTAGGATATCCACAGATGACATATAAACTAGCAAACAAACAAACAGGGTAAGTTCAAGTAGAGAAAACTTCTAGAAAGAAAATAAATAAGCAATGTGGCAGCAGACGGCCTGTTAGGACTACATATATGCCAGAGACAGAGGCGAGGACAAATCTTTAAGAAGTGGTCTTGAAACTGACATTCAAGTAACTAGAAGAAAGCATGAAGTTGGGTGCTTGAGGCACAAAAGGAAAACCAGAGAGCAAGGGAGATGGAGCTCCTAGTCACAATCACAGAAGTAGGAGCACTTCATAGATCGGTTCCAGACTTTGAATGTGATTTTAAGGGTGACAGAGTGTCACTAGAGAGATTATATCCAGAGTGGCATGATGAACGGTGAATAGCTCCCCATGGTTGTTTAGTCATATACAGTGAGGGATGGTGGCAGAGGGTGGAGAAATAGTGAGACTGATTCAGAAGCTATTCTTGTATCCACCAGACAGACGGATTTAGGTTGGACCAGGAGTGACAATAATGCCATCAACACACGGAATCTAATATTTGTTAGAGGTCTTTTGCTGCATGCCATTAGCTTCCACGAGGACTGCTAAATCCACCAGGACTGTTTCTCCCTTATAACGTCTGAGCATCAGTCAAGAGTGAAAACTAAAAGTGCAATTCCAGATGACTACTATACTCCCATCCCCACAAGTTGTGCTTTCTATTCATCAGACCTGTAAATGTTAGTCTTTAAACAATGAGAATATTTTGCAGAAAAGCAAAGATTAACAAATCTACCATAAATGCATTGCCACCATCTCATTTCTCTTCCTTCAACAGAGCAGTGCATGGCACAGTCACTTTAGAGAAGATTGGTTAATTTTTTGTAATTTTGCCAAGTTACATTCATTTCTATATTTATCTCTTTCCTGTCCATGAAATTGACTCTTAATAATACACTTGGGGAACAGCTCCACCCTCTATTCTAGATTTCCTGTTAACTCACTATGTGTACAATTGAATACAGTGCTATATTTATTGTCTTCTCTCTGGGTGGCACTGCATGAATTTGGATATATCATTTGCTTTCTGGGCTTCATTGCACAATAAAATACATCAACCTAGCTTTTTCTTAAGAAGAAAAAGAGGAAGATGTTCCTCTGGAAATTGTGGCACAATTATCACATGGTAGGCCATGGGAATGGGAGGCCTAGAATGACTGCAAGAGTTCTTGAGTCCATATATACATCATAGTTGGTCTTCAGACTAAATAAAATGAGTTTTCTTTATAAGTGTGAATATCCCTTCCAATGCATATTAATGATGTTTTGTAAACTAGAATCCAAAGACACTGTAAATTTTTATTAGTTCATGCAAGTCTTGTCGTTGTGTTTTTCTTAAGACTTAGATGCTACATTCATGGGCACTTTTCTGCATTGATTGCAAACCTTTAGACCTTAGAAAGGGCTCTTCACACTCCAGAAGGTGAACCTTCTCTGAGATCCAGGCCAGGGAACCACGCAAGTGATCCTCCTGCCTTGCTGGACTGTGAACTACATAAGGAAAGGGCTAAGTCTGATGCCTTCTGTGCCCTCCACATGGTTGAGCACAGCCCTGAGCACCTCTCAGAAAGAAAAGAGAACTGGTCTTCTGGGTAAAGCATGTTCCTAATCTATGTATTTCCTAGACATGCGAGGCTAACATATGAAATAAAACAAAGAAAGAGGGGTTTCATGAAGATGGTTAT